AGGTTTCCAATAACGGCTCCCAGGGGCTCCGCATGATCCTCCATGTTGTACCACCGAGTGCCTCCCCTTCCTGTGAAACCCCCCCATGTGAACAGGGCTTTGCTCAAGGACCCGACAGCGGCACCACTCTGCCAGCCTGACGATCTGGTTAAACCTTCTGATCATAGCCACAGAGGCACACATCACCCCAGGCTTCTCACCAGGTTGTAGCTCCCACTCCCACAGCTCATACGAGGAGCTGGACTCACTCTCCACTGGTCAGGATGGCCGCAGTCACTTTAGCTGCTGCTCAGAATGCTGTGAATAACTCCAAAGTCCCTCTGTTGGGTCCAAAGGGCTGCAAATCCAAAGCTGAATCGAGACTGTAGCCAGCACCAGAGCAGAGTGAGTCACCTCTGTGTAATCTGCTAATTTGCCACAGGAGAAACAGACCATCACACGCACTCTGCTTCTGACATCAGCACGGCCTTCAGCAAACGTGCCATTTAAGACTTCAAACATCCAGCGACTGCAGGACCAATGACGTTACACGCCCACACACGAAAAAATAGCCCCAGCTCAGCCCACACCCAGATGACGATGCTGTGCCCTCATGGTGAGATTTATTTGTACATTTATCCTGAAATCAAAAGTCCAGTTAAACATAAGTAATGACAATGTCAAACATCACACCTTCGTGAACAAACAGTGTCTGAGGACCCCGAGGCTCCCTGTACGCCACATCAGCGACAGCTTGCAGACTTCAGAGCACAGGAATAAACCCGCAAACAGACTGACTAAACAGCAAATGGTGAAGCACAGTGTCTATGACATAGTGAAGCAGTGACTTCAGACCAAGGTGATAAAGGCTGGATTTATGACCTGTGACATTCACCCTCATTACTCTTCACCAGGCATACTAGCTGGCTGTCTGCTGAAGACAGCGGGCGCTACAAGGTTACAGCAGCAGAACTCCTTTCAGGATTGAGCTAGGAAATCTCTGCTACAAATTCAGTTGTTTGACTATAATGCTAGCTGTATGGTACATGCTGTGCTACCTGCTATATCTGATGTGCTACCTGCTATAATATCTGCTGTGCTACTTGCTATGATATCTGCTGTGCTACCTCCTATGATATCTGCTATATTTGCTGTGCCAACCTACTATGATATAGATCTGGCTATATTTGTGGTGCTACCTGCTATGATATCTACTGTGCTACCTGCTGTAGTATCTGCTATATCTGATGTGCTACCTGCTATAATATCTGATATGCTACCTGCTATGGTACCTGCTATGATATCTGGTATGCTACCTGCTTTGGTACCTGCTATATTACCTGCTGTGGTACCTGCTATGATATCTGCTTGGTATCTGCTATGATATTTGCTATGCCAAGGGAGTCAAACTCCAGACCTGCAGGGCCGGAGCCCTACATATTTTGGGGTTTCCCCTCATTTAACACACCTGAATCAACTCCTTACACCTCCTTGTGCTAATTACCACACAGCTCTTGAGGTGAATCAGTCTCACAAAGGACTGGAGTTTGACACCCCTGTGCTATGCTATCTGTGATTGCTGGGGTGGCTGTCTGTCTTGCTGTGAGTTACATGTACGCCTTACCTCCTGGATCCAGCCCAAAACCCGGAGCCCGTCTTCCTGGTCAGCTGACTCATTTTCAAGGACGTCTTGCTGAAAACAACATTGTGAGGAGTGACGTGAGCATAAAAATACAGACAAAGTATCCAAAAATATCCAGAACACATTGTAAAGGCAACTTATACCAGTGGAAATAAAATCGACGACACCCCCCCGGTTTGGGGATTGGGAGACAGGCATGACCTAGGGAAATCGCTGGAAAAAACATCGACTAGAAGAGGGGTGGCCAATCTTATCCGCAAAGGGTGGCTGTGTATGCCGGTTTTCGCTGCAGCTCCCTCATTAGATTACTAATTAGAGGACTGATTGGCTGAAGAGTCCTTACACCTGGGTTTGAACAGGTTATCCCAAAAACCTGCATACACACCGGCCTTTTGCGGATAAGACTGGCCACCGCTGGTCTAGAAATTAGATTTTTTTTATTAACATCTAAAACATTATTAAACGATTCAACAAAACGAGATTTGCATTAATCAATAAAAATAAAATGAATGCCTTTGACATTTCGTCTCCAGCTTACCTCGCAATGTCCCGCGATGCGGCCGAACAGGACCATGCACCGGTCTAACTTCTGCTGGCACCGGGGGTCCAGCTTCTCAGGCAGCCCTGCCTGGCTGATCTGCGCTGCTGTCCCGCAGCGATGGTCCCCGTTGAGCAGCCCACGCCCGTCCGGATGCCCGCAAGGCTGCGCCATGTACCAGGCAGTGTCCTCCACATTCAGGAGCTACGTAACGGTGTGTGCCGCGTACGGTCCATCAGCATCTCCGCACAGCTCGGCGACCCTTGCCAATAGACCCCCCCCCTCCCCGAGCTTGGAAATAGGGAGCGGCGGTATTACGGTGCACCACCCAAATGATGGGCAGCCCAGCGCAGCACTGAATCCACCCGGGATCTCGATACACCTGATGTCAAATATGTACCATGTTATGTAGTTACAGAAAACTGCTTTTGAGACTAAAACACATCAGTATTAAGTGACCCACTTATATCGATTTAAACTTCTTGAAACTTTTGAAGTACGTCATTGGCCGACGTTACCGTAATTACCCTAGAATAAGAGTCGGGTCCACACCGCACCCCATAGCGACGACCAACGTTACCGTAATTACCCTAGAATATGCCTGAACACCGCTGCCCATTCCCAAGGCTGGACACCTTGGAAGAGCGCGAGAGCGTGAACTAGCTTCACCTTTACAAAAAAAGTCATACGACACGTCTAAAGCCTGTTAGATAGAAAAGCTTAAATCAGCAGGAGCAGCCCGTAAACAGGCTCCTGCTTCGTTCACACCAATTATGCTGCCACCCACTGGTAAAAGCGTAGTACTGGCACATGTTTTAAAGCTGATTTTAACTAAATCAGTGATACATTCCTGCAATTAATGGTTTGTTAATTTCTAGATACAGCTTTCAGTATCCCGCTTCACAGGAGGAAAAAAATCAGTAAACCCTATAAATGTATAATAGTAAAATGTGTAATAATAATAATATAATATCAGGGAATTGTATTATACCTCAGTGCTTCACCTCGCACATGGAAATAATTGGCATGGAAATACAGCTTTAAAAATAATCCCTTTAAACGCGTTCTATGCGCGCTGTTACCTAATAGACAATGCAGGCTGGCAAATGTTAGACCACATGGTTTATATTACATTAATACGGATTATCCAAAACACCGTGTTAGGGTGCCGCAATGTGACCGTGAGGCTTCGTTTGCAGCCTTTCTACGGAATATGCTTGATTTTTTACCGTGAGTGGTATGAAATAACCCCAATGAACAGACAGCAAACCATAAGGAAGTGATATGAAATTCCATTTCATGTAATGCTTATCTCCTAATAGCCTACAATAGTTTAAGATAATAAGTAATTGGTATTTTGAGACAGTTTGAGACATTTGTGAAAGAATGGGTTATTCTGAATTCAATCGTGGTACTGTCACAAGATGCCACGTTTGCAATAGGTTAGTTTGTGAAATTTCCTACCTGCTAGATATTCCAGAGCCAACTGTAAATGGTATTATTGCAAAGTGAAAGTCTTTAGGAACAACAGAAACTCAGACACAAAGTGGCAGACCATGTAAAGTAATTGAGCAGGGTCACCAGTGCTGAGCCGCATAGTGTGTAAAAGTCACCTGCAGTGCTCTCTTAACTGAATAACTGCATAGTTCCAAACTTCATCTGGCGTTAACCAACATAAAAACTGTGCACCAGGACCTTCATAGAGTGGGCTTCCATGGTGAGCAGCTGTACGCAAGCTTCACATCACCAAGCATTGGACTTCCACTGCACCACTGGACTCTGGTGCAGTGGAAATGTGTTCTATGGAGTGACGAATCATGCTTCTCTGTCTGGCAGTCTGATAGATGAGTCTGGGTTTGGCAGATGCCAGGAGAATGTTATCTACCTGACTGCACTGTGCCAACTGTAAAGTTTGCTGAAGGAGGGATAATGGTAGGGGGTTGTTTTTCAGGGGTTGGGCTGGGGTCCTGAGTTCCAGGGAAGGAAACTCTTAATGCCTCAACGTACCGAGATGTTTTGGACAAGTCTATGCTTCCGACTTTGTGGGAACAGTTTGGAGAAGGCGCCTTTCTGTTCCAGCATGACTGTGCCCCAGTGCACAAAGAAAAGCCCATAAATACATGATTGGGTGAGTTTGGTGTGGAAGAACTTGACTGGCCCACACAGAGCCCAGACCTAAACCTCATCAAAGTCCTTTGGGGTGAACTAGAACGAAGATTACAAGCCAGGCCTTCATGTCCAACATCAGTGACTGATGTCACAAATGCTCTTCTGGATGAATAGAAAAAAATTCCCACAGACACCCTCCAAAATCTTGTGGAGAGCCTCCCCAGAAGAGTGGTGGCTGTTATAGCTGCAAAGGGGGGACCAGCTCCATACTGATGCCTATGGAGTTAGAATGGGACGTCATAAAAGGTCATGTAGATGTAATGGCCAGGTGTCCCAGTACTTTTGTCCATACAGTGTGTGCTGAAGCTAAACTGGCTCTAACATTGAGATGCTACTGAATACGACCTGTCAGGTGTGTTAAATTAGGGCTGTACCTTTGCTGAGTGATAAATGTACAGAGGCAGAGTTGGACAGCCCTGACCTACAGCAGGGTAATGGTGGCTTCTTGGCCAGCTGTGTGCCTAGATATGCACATCTGTACCCTGTGCAGAAGGTGACAACATGTGCAGAAGGTGACAGACTGACTGGCTCCAGTGGGACAGAGGTCCGGCTCGGCCCGGCCCGTGTCGACGGCACCTCGCAGGTGCCCCGGCCCGTGTCGACGGCACGTGAAACAAACGTGGGCTGTAGGCTCCCTTGTAACCAGCAGTTATTTTAATCTTACAGATCTGCTTCAAACGTATAATGTTTAGCTTTATTAGGGTACTTATGATGCTAAGTTACAGTCAGTAATTTTGATGCAAAAGGGCCCTTCAGATGCGGCGAACAGCGTTTCCATTTACGCTGGAAAATTCAAATACTGCAAATAAAATGATGTGTGAAACCACATAACTTCAGGGACCCAAGAAAAGGGGGCAGGGGGCCGTCAGGGTGGCCCCTCCGAAGGGACTGGGAAACAAACCAGTGCGTGGCCAAACCCCGGAGCTCACATAATTTACTTTAATAAGCAAATTTGATATAATTACGACTTAGGCTCTTTACATAAGTGACCTGAATTACTTTTCCATAACAAACCTCTAATAAACTGTAAATATCAGAGAAAATCTCAGTGCTTATGCATTTAAAACCTTTCGTAAAAACACAAAAATAATTTCTTAAAATAAAAAAAGTCTAATATTCTACTGCTGAATCATAATGACATTTTGTGTTAGAGAGAAATTTATTTAACTTTCAATAGGATTATGCAATACAATGAGTTTCACAGGCATTGGCCTAAGGTGGTGGTTTTACGGTGAGGGCACAGCGAGCGGCCGGCCGCATGGGTGATTCAGCCTGGAGAAGGTCCAGGTCTGTCAGAACCAGACCCGCATTCCGGTTTGCAGGCTCTAAAGGCAGGTTTGGCTGCCTGGTTGGTCACCAATGCAAACCGGGCTACAAAGACCAAAATCAAGACAATTTACACCATGTCAGCATATCACCAGTGTTTTAGCCATAAGAATTAATTCATTATAAAACCTGGACACTTAAGAGTCTGCTTTCAGCCAGTCACAGTGACTTATGTGCCATTGGTGTAAGACTTCTGTCAGTTAATTATTCAGATGAAACGGTGTGAGCTGCATATCTGATTGGGGGGGTTTGACTGACAGTGTTTCCCGTGCAGACGCACAGAAACGCCAGCAGGAAGTGCCGCTGATCCATTTGAACGCGGCAGGTCCCTTAGGTTTGGATCCCTTCATGCACCTTAGTGGATTTCGGGAATATTTCACAGCGAAAGACACAGTGTCTTTGTCCCACTGGATAAGCAGCTCAGGCGATGTCTTATTAAACTTATAGACATAAATTATCGTAAACAAGAGGACATATTATTTATTCTAGTCACGGGAGTCCCTCACATTAAAAATCCTTAGTAACCACCAGTGCAGCAATAATAATAATAATAATAATAATAATAATAATAATAATAATAATACTAGAGAACACTATACTACCCCAAACCAGCCTGATTTCTCGGGTAATTACAGGTTTCTTTATTCTGTTTCTCTTTATTCTGTTTCTCTTGAATAATTTTTTCACGACAATAAAAACCATGATCTAGGTTTCGAATATTTTAGAAAACAAACAGACAAGCAAAGCTGGTGGAGATGTGTGAGTCGGGGACACCGCAGACGGTCACGCTGGGCAAACAGGAGGCCGGCACAGAGACGCGCGCGCGGATGGCCTGCTCTGCGGAGTTCCCCCAACTGAGGTGCTTATTCTGCCAAAAACACAGACACTAAACAGCGGCATGATCTCGATATTTTAAATGCTTGCTATCTACAAATATAAAACACTTTCCGTTGGCAACAATTAAACTTTTTTTCCGTCAAATGTTACATGTTGCTATGGATGATAATGGTGCTTTTTATTTTAAATTTGGGGCGATTTGTTAAATCGTGATTTGGTTTGAAAAGAGACACATTCAAAAGTCAAGGAGCATGTTACCGTTTCAGAGTTATTAACCGATGGGATCAGCTATCAAAGTACTTACACTGACTGCCTATAAAAACGTCCGGAATCGCTCACAAACACAACACAAGGATTATTAAAACCTCTCTGCTTCTGACCGTATCCCAGTAAAGTTTATCCCGTGATGATGGGTGAAAAAGCCACATACCAAGTGTGCAAACCACAAAAACAGACCCTAACTGCACTGTACTCCACCTGACGGTTGAATGTACCATGTTAAATCATTCATGAATTCATCCGTGGCATGAATTATTTACTTCAGGCCGGAGGAACAGGGGTACTGGGGTGGGGGGATTAGGATGACTCCAAGGGCCCCTGACTGACAGGGGCCAAAAAAAATTAGGAAAATAACTGGATTTGTCTGGGCTGGGGGGCCCAATATGATATGCTTTCATGGGGTCCGAGATCTCTAGCAAGGCCCCTGGCGAGGGGGGGGCTCCCCAGCCGTGGAGATGGCGTCTGTCTGCTGTACGCGCCGCCTCCTTGGCTGTGGTCTACTGAGTGGTCATGGTGAAACACCCTTTAGAGCAATTCATGCAACAATGAAAGACCAGTAGGAGTTTATAAGTAAGGCATACTGAGCGAGTTAAAACATTTCCTGTGCTCCTTGAACAAAGATAACTTTATAATTTCTAAATAAGAGTTTTTCTGCATTTCTCCGTTCTTCCCAGTTCCTCCTATATGTCTTTTATGCTTGTTTTTCCTGTATTGCATTTGGCCATATGTTGAAACCAGGTACTGGGGGCAGTCCAAGTCCGTGCTGGAGGTGACCTCACAGAGTCCTCTCCACCAGAGTTCAGGCCAGTGGATGGCGCTACATTCACAATCCCAGGCAGCAGAGGGCGACGGTGAGCAGGGCGGCCAGACCGAGGGGCTGTGCCGAAAGCATCGCGCCACCTGTGGAGGGGTTTGAGAGGAAAAGACCACGTTAAGAGACGGGACTGATACAGCATAGTCCAGGATCAAGTCCCAGCCCCCGTGCACATGGCATTCCCTGACTGGTAATCGAACCCGGGATGCGGTGCCGAACGTGACACATCCCGTGTGCTTCCCAAGACTCGGGATGTGTAGGTGCAGGCTATCAGCACGTCACGCTGAACACACACCTTCAGCACGTCACGCTGAACACACACCCTCAGCACGTCACGCTGAACACACACCCTCAGCACGTCACGCTGAACACACACCCTCAGCACGTCACGCTGAACACACACCCTCAGCACGTCACGCTGAACACACACCCTCAGCACGTCACGCTGAACACACACCCTCAGCACGTCACGCTGAACACACACCCGAACCCATGGGCGTCGCCGCCATTAATGTGCCCCCCTCACATTTCATAATTATTCGTTTGGACCCCCCCACATTCAACATAAAATATTAGTTCACCCAGCGCTGTTTCTATTGCTTCGCGAAAGAATCCATTCCACTTGATCGATATGAGAATACACATACGGCACCTAATTCATTAAAAAAAAAATTCTGGGGGAGGGTCCTCAGACCCCCCGCCAGTGTTTCCCCGCCACCTTCAAAATGCTTCTGATGCCCCTGCCTAAACCTGACCCATCTGTGATGGACTCTGCATATATCACTGGGGTCGACTATAGAAGAGCCCAAGCTTCCTCCAAAACAGGGCGGGGCGGGGGGGTCCGTGGTCCCAGCGAGGGGCTTTAGTCAGGTATGGGTATAACTTACAGACACTGAATGGTAACTCAGAGTCAAAGGACAGCCATTGGTCTTTGTTTCCATAACATTTCTTACTGCACATAAGTTCAGTAAAACTAATCATAAGCTTGCCCGAATGTGTTTACGAGGCTTATCTTAAATGATAGAGTCACCCAAGCAGACCACTGAACACGGTTTCCATAGTTACCTGAAATGCGCACTTGTGCGACGGCTCCATCCCCACCTTCACTGAGGGCTCGCACCTCCACCACGGAGTAGCCCTTCTTGGGAAGCGGCAGGTCGATGGAGTGCTCGTTGGTGGCAGTGTAGAGCACCTCATCAACGTCGCCCTCCTGTCTGTACACCACCTACAAAGACAGCAGCAGTCAGACTCGGGACAAAGGCAGGCTCAGCCGGGGGGGGGGGGGGGGCGTGCAGGTCAGCGGTGCCCCCAAGGCTGCAGACTCATAACATTTACTCTGCAAAAATATCCGTCTTCTAAATGCGCTCAGTCTGGAGTTTATCCTGGGCAAAGCAGGCTGCAGCCCCAGGAAAAATGAGGAGACCATAGAACAATTTTTTGTTTTACTCATTCAGACAGTAATTTTTTCCAAAGCTGTATATACACTCAGTGACATATGGACACATGTGGCGAAACGGTGCGGAAGGGAGTCCTACAGCCGCTGTATCCTCTCCTGCGGCAGGTCGGCACACAGCTGTTGCAACTGGCCCTCGAGGTCCTGTAGATTGGCACTGGGTCCCCCTGAGCTGATCACACACGTTTGATTGGGGAAAGACTGTGGGACCTGGCTGGCCACGGGAGGACCTCAACATGACGCAGGCAGTCCATAGACACGTACCGTGTGTATATGGACGTTGTCTTGTTGAAAGACTGTACCAGGGTGCTGTCTCAGGAGGGGTAAGACATGAGGACGCAGGATGTCACTGACGTGGCGCTGTGCCGTCAGGGTCCCTGATTCACTACCAGAGATGACCTGAAGTCGTACCCTATGGCTCCCCACACCGTGATGTCATAGCCTATGGCTCCCCACACCATGATGTCGTACCCTATGGCTCCCCACACCGTGATGTCGTACCCTATGGCTCCCCACACCGTGATGTCATACCCTATGGCTCCCCACACCATGATGTCATAGCCTATGGCTCCCCACACCGTGATGTCATACCCTATGGCTCCCCACACCGTGATGTCATACCCTATGGCTCCCCACACCGTGATGTCATACCCTATGGCTCCCCACACCTATGGCTCCCCACACCATGATGTCATACCCTATGGCTCCCCACACCATGATGTCATACCCTATGGCTCCCCACACCGTGATGTCATACCCTATGGCTCCCCACACCGTGATGCCTGGAGTGACGCTGGTGTGTCTCTCCACAACATTGCCAGGATTGGTCCTCTCCCCTCGGTGCCGCCATACACACACACACGACGATCATTCGTGGTAATGCAGAAATGAGATTCAATGCTGACCATGGTACGATGCCACTCGTCATCAGTCCATGCCTCCAACTACAGCATCACTCCAAATGCTGGTGTTAACGGTAGCCTAAGCATTGGACGGTGAACCCATAGTCCGACTGATGCCAGTTGTCGAGACACGTTGTGGGATGACATGGGGTGTTACAGAGAGTTCAATACTTGTGTCTGGATGGCAGGCGCAGATGCCATGGGGTTCTGTAATGCTTGGCACACAATACGACGATCCTCCATTGCTGTGGTCTGTTTTGGGTGATCGGAACCTTCATGACGTGTGTGGATGCCCTCAAGTGCCCAATTGCAATTGCATGATACGACCACCGAGCCTCACGCTAACCCACAATGTGACCCCTATCAAACTCCGTCAAGTGCTGGTAATGCTAGCTAATGTGTCTACGAGGCGTCCTCTGTGTCTGGTGACTAGACATGCCAGCTCCTTGCAAATTGAATCATTTACATACCCGTCACTGGTCTGAACGTGTACCAAATTACACCCAAATCGGACCATTTCTTCTGGGTGCTTAACTTGTCACTGGGTACAATTGTACATATTGGACAACACTAAATGAAATAAAACTATTTTGACAACAAGGTTGGTCCTCCAATTAGACAGCAACCTAGAAAACTCAAAGAGGGATTCAAGAGGTGAACCGAACCTTTACTAAAGTCAATGTGTAACTAAACAGAAAGTGAGGCGGGAAGGAAGGTCGGCAGACGGGAAGTGAGCAGCAGCGACCATGAGGTCGAAGCACCTTGTAGCCCTTTATGGTGGACTCATTGGCCAGGGGCTCCACGTGCTCCCACGCGATGTTGACCACGCTCCGGCTGAAGCTCTTCTTGATTATTCTGGGGGGGCGACTGGGAGCTGTGATCAGGAAGAAGGGAGAGGGGGTAGCTGAAGTGAGGGGGGGGGCTGTAGGAAAGACCTGCCTGTTCCTCACATTCAGTCACATTCAGAGACACGGACGGTGATTCTGCGCAGATGGCACTGAGATTATACTGCAGTACAGCCTCTCTCTGACAGACAGCAAGGCGGACTGCAGTACAGCCTCTCTGACAGACAGCAAGGCGGACTGCAGTACAAACAGCCTCTCTGACAGACAGCAAGGTGAACTGCAGTACAGCCTCTCTGACAGACAGCAAGGCGGACTGCAGTACAGCCTCTCTGACAGACAGCAAGGCGGACTGCAGTACAGCCTCTCTCTAACAGACAGCAAGGCACACTCACGTGCTTTCTTGGTGTGAATCTCGTAGCGGTTACTGGGGGGGCCGAATCCGGCTGTGTTGTATGCCTGCACTTCGATGACATAGTGCGAGTTGGGCAGCAAGTTTTCCAGACGGGTCTGGTTCTCGGTGGCGGGCACCTGCACCTTCTGGTTGGCCGTCTCACTGTCGTCGTGTTTCTTCCAATACTTCACCTTTAAGTGGCACGGAAGAGGCGGAACCCCCAATGGCATCAGCCAATCGGACACGAGCGTCAGTACTCCAGCACAATGAAACTTCCACATTTAGACATTTTGGTTTATTGATATTTCATATTTATTTTGGCATATAAAAGCCAGAATCAGTCAAGTCAGAATAAGCAAACCTCAGCTGTACCATTAAAGAGGTTAGTGTGTACTGACTGAAAAAAATAACTGTAGTTGAAACATTACCTAATCAATACTACAGATAATAATTATGGTAGTAATAATAATAATAATCAATCATCATCATCATCATCATGGAAAGTAAGCACCTGGTAGCCCTCGATCCCTGGCTGGGTCCCGGACAGCCACACTACAATGGCCTCTGTTGCTGATAATGTCCTGGCGACCACGTTTGCAGGACGCTCCAGAGGGACTGCGGATGCAGAGAGAGTATGACGCAAACACCTTAACATACCACCAGGGGGAGTCCTGTCTACCATTTATAGGGATAGGTCTTCAGTAGGACATTGCGGAGATACAAACTCTTCAGATGAGACATCACTGATCTGAATCATATCTCTCAGGTTTGTCTTATCTTGGGTTTTTGATTATAATTTCATAGCCTGAAGGGTCTCTGAGAAATCATGCTTCACCTCCATGACTAAATATCTCATGACTGTATGAGATCACAGCAGTGTCTTATACCACCGCTGATTAAGTTCGATTAAAATAAATACAGGATAACATACTGGTACAAAACAGAAGCTCGGAGGCTTGCTTTTGTCCACTGAGCCGTAATGGGTACGCTGTTATTCTGGGTGTACGGTCCAGTTACAGCATGATGTCATGGTTCTTTAGGGACAGCAGGGTCTGCCAGTTACACATGTGAGCTTCTCAGTCATCCCCGCTCATTCCCAGTCCAGCCCTCTTCCATCCCAGTACAGATGAACAGCCTCCATTTTGTGTGTGGTACTGACTCCATACAGACACCCTGCCACATGCTAATTATGCCTCGTTTAGAGCTGATTAACAGAGTGAGGCTCATAATTACTCACTGCTGGCTCTGCTTCTGTTTTTGGTTTCTGAGCTCTCATTAAACACTGATATACACAGTTATTGCACTTGAGTAAAGTTCATGAGCAACTGTGTGCAGCGTCTTTGTGGGCAGCTACAATACTGGCTCCTATGTCTGACCCATGACCCTCACTGCCCTTTGACCCTTACCATCTTGTGGCGAGTATATGATGGCTGTCAGGCTATAAGGGCCTTCACCCTTGTTGTTGAAAGCTTTGACCTTGACCTGGAACTCTGTGTTGGCAGGCAGGGCGGGGTCTTTGTGGATGTATTGTCTGGCCTCAGGGTCAGCCAGAGTCACCTTCCTCCACTCTGAGTCATAGTGCGGCTTGAAAGCGATGATGTAGCCAAAGTTCGGCCCATAGTAGTACTCACGCTTGACAGGCTGGAAGCACGGAGATGAAGCAGCACTTCATTACATAGGCATCGAAAGCCTGACAGGCTGAAAGCACAGGGGTGAAGCAGCACTTCACTACAGAGACAGAGAGCCTGACAGGCTGGAAGAATGGGGGTGAAGCAGCACTTCATTACAGAGACATCGAGAGCTCATCCTTTCCGAGCCTCTGAGGAAGAAGGCCAGCATTAATCTCCCGGTTTGACCCTGGATCAAAACAGTACCCTGATCAAAGGCCAACATGCATCCCACAGCACAGCACCTCAACAGCACCCCGATGGACTCGCTATCGAAGCTGGCAGTTTCAGAAGAAAAAAAAAAAACATTCCCCCCCCCCCCATTTTTGGCAAGTGCCCAGAATGCTAACAAACTCCTACCAGATGTTTACTACCACTGCACGTATTTGTTTCTGCTGAAGGCTCTTCATCTGACCCAATAGTGTACTATAGGTGAGCAGTAAAAGTTTCACCCAGGTTAGGATGCTGTGCCTCTGATCGGAAGGTTGCTGGGTCAAATCCCAGAGTCGACCTTGTGATGTCACTGTTGGCTCCCAGAGAAGGCCCTTGACCCCCAATTGCTCCAGGGACTGTCTGACCTGCTTTCTCAGCTGTTTGTTGCTTTACATAAAAGCATCTGGTAAATTAATCAACATGAGGTGAATGTAGCATCACATTATGGGGCGGATGGTGTGCTCCCGCGTCATTCCTCTGAATAAATCGGATAGAAAAGAGCTGTCCTGGAAGGTTACGTGGAGATGTAACAAGCCACACATACCGTCCAGGTGATCACCAGCTCTCTGCTGATGTTGCCACCCCCTCCGATGTCCGATGGAGCCACCACAGGAACTGAAAAGTCAACAGGATACTTTGTTTCACCTTTTGGACCCTTTTGATCCCACCAGCAAAGGTCAGGCTGTGGCTACAGTGGGTCATCTAGGTACGAGATACGGGATATGACCCGATACCGTTACACCAAAAGATGACATATAGCAAACAACATAACTTCACTGACATCCAAAAAAAAAAAAAAAAAAAAAAACTCAATGAACCACTAGGGATTTGAACAGAGGCAGGGACTTAAATACAGAGGGGTAACAAGACTAACAAGGGGCAGGTGAGATCAATCAACAAGGCTGGGAAAACAGGACACAGGTGAAACTAATTAACTTCAGGGAACTAAACGGGAAAACTGAGAACTAACCGAGAAATAGGAAAAACAGAATCTAACACTGGGAATAACAAAAACCGATAAAACACAACTAAGGCTCAAAGCAAGGAACCAAAACCGAACACAAATCACAAGACAAAGGAACTAGAAAACTCATACAAAAGAAACACCAGGGAACAAAATAAAAAAACAGAGGATTGGAACACACAACAGAGGGAATAACTGCTGCACACTCTGCTCACTGAGCCATGCGGCCAACGGGGAGCAGGGGAAACACTACAGACTAGGAGAACGGGGAAAAGGACACAGACTGGGACAGCAGGAGCTGACCCTGACACGTGACCTGATACCCATACACCCTCCCAGTTACCAAATTGCCCATAGGTGTGCATGTATGCATGAATGGTGTGTGAGTGCATGGTGTGTGAGTGCATGGTGTGTGAGTGCATGGCGTGTGAGTGCATGGCGTGTGAGTGAATGGCGTGTGAGTGAATGGCGTGTGAGTGCATGAGTGAATGGCGTGTGAGTGAATGGCGTGTGAGTGCATGGCGTGTGAGTGAATGGCGTGTGAGTGAATGGCGTGTGAGTGCATGGCGTGTGAGTGAATGGCGTGTGAGTGCATGGCGTGTGAGTGCATGAGTGAATGGCGTGTGAGTGAATGGCGTGTGAGTGAATGGTGTGTGAGTGCATGGTGTGTGAGTGTGCTCTGTGATGCACTGGTGCACCATCCTGGGTTGTTCCCTGCCTTGCACCTATAGGCTCCAGACCCCCTGTGACCCTGAATAGGATAAGTGGTTTCAGAGGATGGGTGAACATTTTTTATGCTACAGCTATGACTTCATAACTACATTTGTCCTATCAGTGCAGTGGTGCCTGTTGTATTACTGATACATACTGCTGCCAAAGTTTGTGGAACTGCATGTTAATACCCAGAATGAGCCATGGCATTTCTTGACAAATGCAAATGCAATTTTGAGACGTGTCTGAACGTGTGAGGAACTTCACATGAAGCACAATCGGTCAACTGAAAGGGCAGCTGTTAAGCGGCAGGTGGCTCAGCGCAGAGCTCTCACATTTCAGACCATCTTGGCGGATGATGGGTGTCCATCAGAGATGGAGAAGAATGTGAGAGAAAAACTGACTAGAGGGATATTTTTGTAATCAGCTTTTAAATACTGATGCGAGTGCCTGTGTGTTAGGCAGCTAACATCCAAGAATGTAAGCTTAGTGTAGCAATATGTACTTGAACTTGCTCATTAGATAGGAGCAGAAATGCTGGCCAGAGAACAGAAATGTAAGTTTGGAGACGGAGCAGGAAACCAAGAAAGAGTGGGGGCTGCATGAGGCTGGCCAGGCTTATGAAGTAAAGGCTGTACAAAGCGCATGTGCTTCGTTTAGACAAGATGCAGTCTGCAGAAAGTGTATGTGCCTCACCCCAGCCAGTTCGGTCCGGTTCTGGGGGGGGATGTTAACTTAAAGTTCTTTGGGTAGAACCATGGATGTGGCAGTGAACGGGCTGCTCCCTGAATTCAGTAGTAAAGCGACGTCATTATCTGAAGCACCGACTGAGTGTCACAAATTTCTACCACAAATGACACCCGCCTTTAGAATATAAAACATTCTCCCTCACTGAAACATACATCAGTGATGCACTAGAAGGGTGTAGAAGGTTATACAGAATCTGTCAGAAAGATTTTTGTGTCATTAAGTCAGCTATGGCCGTCCTGAGGAGCTGCAGGGACGGGGACCCACTTGCTTCCAGCGTCGTGATTCTGGGGGACGGGCTGCTGGGGTCTCCGGTACCCAGGGTGTTGGTGGCTATCACGCGGAACTCGTACTCCGTCCAGGGAATCAAGTCCACCACGGTGACGGTCTCCTCGTTGCCCTCCACGTTTGGCGGCCCTGTAACAAGGACGACCACTTTCGTGGCTAAATCTTCCACTGGTGCTGTGAAAGCTGCTTGGTGCAGCAGAAACTTTGCGGCGGGACTCACAGGTGCTGACGTCCTTCCACTCGTCGGGGTTCGCAGAGGAGGCCTCTCTGGCCTGGATGGTGTACTTGGAGATGGGGCTGTGGTTGTCCGGGCCTCGACTCCAGAGGAGCTTAACGGACTTCTCTTTGATATCCTCCACATGGATGCCCAGTGGCGGACCGGGGGGGCCTGTGCAGGGGGAGAGAGTGAGCCAGCTGCGGTCAACCTTCCTTCACACGTACAGGCGAACACTCTGTACTCCGTACAAAACACATGTGCACATCTCAAAGTCAGCTTCTCTTCACTGGATCCTTCTGCATTCCTGCACCTGCGACCCCATTTTCTGAGCCACAGAAACAGATATGAAATGCAGAATGAAACATAATCCTCAAAAAGCACAAATCCGTGGCTCATGTTCATAATTACGAGACCAGGGGTTAATTCTACTAATCCTTATTATCCTACAGCTCACGCCAGTGGAGGTTTAATTGATAAAGCGTGTTTGCAGTGAATTGCGTGTATAAGCTGCTTGATGAAAAACATCTTTTCCTCCAGTATTGCTCTAGACTCTGTGCTGACAACAGCCACAGTGAGGTGTCAGTTGAGTAACGGTCAATGGGCACCCAGCAGCCAATCATGTACCACTATGTCCAGTATACATCAGATGTAGTCAATTTTTAGCCAACCACAGTGAGGATCTAGCTGTGTAAAGGTCAAAGGGCACTCAGCAACCAATCATATGTCACCCTGCCTGATTATTTCTCTTTTCCAAGGTCCACAGACCCTCAGAGACAGGCTGAGATTCAGCCTCAGTGTATTTCTGCTGGACAGCCTCTATCGAATCTATCTTTGAAACTGACAAAAGCGCAGAGCTACATGCTAACGACAGAGCTAGGTGCTAAAAAAAACGATACATGCTAATGACAGAGCTTCATGCTGGTAATGGTAATATTGCCTGATTTACCATTTATACCAGTACAAATACAACCATTCAGGATTTCTTTGGTTTTCACAGATCCCATCTTGCTCTGCTGACAGGTGAGAATGAAACTTTCTTTTATTTTTTTTTGGTGCCCCGCAGCAGGTTCTGGAATTAAGTGCCTTATTCCTCGGCTCAACAGTGATGTGATTACTGATGAGACTGTTTCCATAACAACCCCTGCCATGACGACAGCAGAAGCAGAATAACCAGTCAGCAGGGTTGCCAACTTTGGTCAGTTGATTGGAGTGAGTTTTTCAATTCAAGAGTCTGCACACTTATTTACATGTATGTAGCAGTTTTATCAAATTGTAGATAGTCTGTAGGGTTTGCAAACTACCTCCATGCTTTTGAGGCAGCTAATTTTAGGTTTATATTGGAATAATATAGATTTGCCAGATTTCTGGGGTGAGCGTGAGAGTCTGAAAGCGTGAGTGTCACACCCGATGCGTGAGAACTGGCAGCCCTGACCAATCAGAACACGGGTGGCTCAGTAATGAAGCTGCTGCCTTCTCCAATTGGCAGTTTCCGCATGTGGATGAGAGCAGGAGGGACTCACCCCTGACAAAGAGGTCGGCTGAGGCACTGATGTTATCCACGATGGTCTGGGCGGTGCAGATGTAGCGGCCGGCGTGTTTCAGCCGCGTATTCCGGATGTGCAGCTCGCTGCTGGATTCCCGGCTCTGCTAGACAGGCATCAGGCAGCTGTGTCAGTCGCCATCACCCCACCGCCATTGCTTACGTTCAGTACACATCCCATTATTTTTATATGCCGCCATTTCTGGGCAGAGATTTAGTCAGAACAAGCGAGAGACCCCAGTGTGGCTACCGGAGACACAAACCCTATCTGCCGTCAGTCAGAAATGCTATAGCTGTGAGCTGTGTGGGCGGCCGTTGGTGGTAAACTGACATTCAGAAGCCTCAAAAGATCATGTGACTTCCTGGTTGGTGGGCCACGCGGCCGCGACCTTTAAGGGGACGGTAATGGTCAGGAATGTGACCATTGCAGTGGCCCTGCTGCCTGTTCTCTAACAAACAGAGGGCTTGTTTTAGCCCATCAAAGGCAAGCAGGTCACAGAGATCTGCCGCCCCAAAGCGAGTGCCGACCCAGAGTGCCATAACTGAAAGGTGACAGAAATGCACGCCGGACATAACACATGCTAACAGAGAAGGCCCATTCGTCCTGAGTAGGTTCAGCAAGTGTGACATATAAGTTACACAAATAAAGGTACATTTTACATGTAAGTACAGATCTAGGTAAGTACAGTACATTCAACCTGAACTGCATTCCATATTTTAAAGTAAAGCCACACTGAATTACAGAAACAGAACAGAAATGAAACACTGAATAACACATTAATATTAATGCATGACACACTAGCCATGACTCCGCACCGTGCGCTGGTAATGCTCGGCCTCCCTGTCGAAGTCGATGACGTGGCCGTCCAGCGCCCAGGTGAATGTGATGTCCAGGCTGGAGTCATGTGACGCTCCGCACTGCATGCGCGCGTCCTCCCCCACCTGCACGTCGGCGTTGGACGGGGCCAGCGTGATCTTGGTGGCCTCTGGAAGACACAGCCCGCCCTCAGGGTCAAAGGTCACAGCGGTCATGAGAATCAGCTGGTCTCAGTCACTAGAGGGTCACTCCATTTCCAAATATACCTAGATGGGCTGTGGACTGAGCAATGATTAAAAAATTAATTTTTTAAATGTATTAAATTTTAAAAGTTCATATCTTAGGCACGATGAACCGTTGTAATAAAGCCAGACTAGTACCAAGGACTTTTTCACATCATCTGTCCAGTCATTCTCCAACTGCTTATCACTTAATCCTAACTGGGGTTGTGAGGGGGACCAGAGCCTATCCCGGGAACAACGGGCACAGACAGGAACCAACCCTGGACGGGAGCCAAAACACAACAGGGCACACACACTCACAGGTCCAACTTCACAAATGAACCTACCGTGCACACTTTTGGACTGTGGGAGGAAACCGGAGCCCCCTGCAGACACCAACGCGAACAAGGGGATAGCGTGTGAACTCCACACGGAAAGGTCCTACACCCTACCCGAGGACCCAACCCAGAACCTTCTTGCTGTGAGGCAGCACTGCACCACTGCGCTGCCATCTGCTTATCATGTTTATCTGAATTATTATTGTTGTTGTCATTGTTATTATTATTATATGGTCTACGTATTTCTTGGGCAATAAAAGGGTCACGACAAATTAATCTAGTTACTTCATCAAACTGACCAGCAGGGGGCAGGAGAGATGAAGCATATTTACTGGACAGCAGTACAGCAGGGCCAGAAGGCTTCAGTGAAACAGGATGTGGCAGAGACCTTCCCACCAAACATACTCACATAAACATCTACCCACCAAACATCCACTCACATAAACATCTACCCACCAAACATCTACTCACATAAACATCTACCCACCCATCATATACTCACATAAACATCTACCCACCCATCATATACTCACATAAACATCTACCCACCAAACATATACTGACATAAACATCTACCCACCCATCATATACTCACATAAACATCTACCCACCAAACATATACTCACATAAACATCTACCCACCAAACATATACTCACATAAACATCTACCCACCCATCATATACTCACATAAACATCTACCCACGAAACATATACTCACATAAACATCTACCCACCAAACATATAGTCACATAAACATCTACCCACCAAACATTCAGTCACCAAACATCTACCCACCAAGTATCTAACCACACAGACATCTACCCATTTGATGGTTTGTAAAATGTTACATACATCTAATTTGGCCTGTTTGATACTAATGGTCAGTCTGAGACTTTGACATTTAATTTCCTTATTTCCTAAGCCCTGCTCTTTATGTAAATACGAAGGCCACCTGATTGGCCGCCTGACAGAGGGGCGTGTCCGAAGCCCACCTGTGATGGACAGGGACCCGGTGCTGTTGGCTTTGCCCCTGTTGTTTTCAGCGAAGCAGCTGTACTTCCCCTCGTCCACCTTGGACACGTTGAGGATCTCTAGGCTGCCATCCTCCCAGATGCGGATTCTGCCCAAAAAGGAGGGAAAGATCAGTGCCATCACAGCAGGTGGCCCGTCTAGGGCAGGACTGGGGTGGCCCATAAACGCAGTGGCTGCAGGTCACGGGTGACCATGGAATATCAAAAATGACAAGGAAAGGAAGCGGGAAACAGAGACTCCCTGGCGTATGACATCAGAATTACGAGGGGTATCATTCATCACGCTGGCAGGAGGGTGGCCCTGTCCAAAAAAGCCTCACTCTGCACTCGGAGGAAGCGTATGCTGAACTGAAGGCCAAAATGCAACATTAATGGGGTTTAAATCCCCCATTATGATGACGAATAACGCGGACTAAAACCCAGCGAGACCTGCATGCAGCTCCTGCTGGGAGAGACGCCCTTTAAGAAGCACTGGTCCATTATCTCACAGGGGTTAGGAGGCCAGCATGGGCCAGCAGACACACCTGGACGTGTTGGAGAGCAGCTCGGTGCCTTTGGTCCAGGACAGTCGAGCTCGGGGGGCGGCCTGCGGTTTACACTCTATTACCACCCGCCCATTCTTGGCGCCCAGGATCTCCTTCTTCACGGGGTTCTTCTCGAACGAGGGAGAGCAAGCTTGCGGGAAGGAACAAGAGCTTGCATGTTTTTAACAAGGACACTGGCTGTTAACCACAGGGAAATGTTCAGAGCCTACAATCTGACACGCCCAAGAGCCCCTCCCTGAACTGTCACATGGGGCACCACTAGAGATTTTAGGCCCCATAACAGCATATCAAACTGGGCCCCCAACCCAGACCAATCCAATTAAGTTCCTAATTTTTTAGGGCCCCTGTCATCCTAACTATTCCCCCCTTTAGGGCCCCGTCTGTGGCCCCCGGGGTCTCCAGGGGTGACTCACCCATGACATACAGCTGGGCGTTGGCGTAGATGACTCCGTGCTTGTTCTCCGCGATGCACTGGTACATTGCGGAGTCACTCAGCGCCAACCTGTCGAACTTCAGCTCCCCTCTGCCGTGCTGCAAAGCCACACCCGCAATATATCAAAGGGACAACAGCGTCTCCCTTTATCCCCCAGTTATTCCAGTCAGACTGCTGGGTGGCCCTTGGCCCATTAGCTGGAGAGGCAGAGGACCACAGAAAACCGAGTAACGGTCCAGGGGTTCTTCAGAAAGCACTTGTCTGGGTCTGTTTCCATGGCAGCAGACTGGGAAGGGCAGACTGGGAAGGGCAGACTGGGAAGGGCAGCCTCACGGGGATACGGCTCCTTACCGGCTCGCCATTCTTCAGCCAGCGGATGTGAGGCTTGGGCTTGCCGGTGGCCACGCACGACATGGTCAGTTCACTGCCGATGTCCTTCTCCATGGTGACGATGTGCTCCACCCACACGGGGTGAGCTGGCCAAAGAGCAGAAGGAACCACCATCAATCTCCAACCCCGGGGAGAAGAATACCAGATACACAGGGCACCTCTACAGCTACCGTGAGCTGTACAGGTCCCTCACCCATCCATCCATCCATCCATTTATTCATCCATCCATCCATCTCTTAGCTGCTTGTCCTGGTCACATGACCCTGATGTTCATAGGAATTCAATGTATTTATGGAACGTTTCAAACTTTGACTATAGACCATGTTTTAGAATTAGTAGTTTAGACAGCTGATAAGCAGATACTTCGATCCAAAGTGAGCTCCAGCCCCTAGGGACGTACACGGCTCAGCATTTCACGCCAGGTAGGTCTGTCCCTAAAATTCCGGTTCAGCTGGGGAGGCCTCATCCTTAGAAGGCTAAGGAGTCACGCTTTGCGGGTGTATGCAAGGACGTTGTCTTTCCAGGCAGTTCCGGGCCAGTCAAGGCTGTAGGTGGAGCGTGAAGCTTCCCCAGTACCTCACCACTGCCCCCTGCTGGTCGTCGGCGGGGCTGTGCTCGTACCATCCACGTACAGCCTGGTCCTGTGGCGGTCTTTGCCTTTGGAGTTGAGAGCCTCGCAGTCGTAGGTGCCCTCGTCACTCAGCTGCACACTGGGGATGTGCAGCAAGGCGCCCGCCATGCTGGTCTGCAGGCGGGGGGGCATCTCCGCGTCCTCCTTCCTCCAGCGGACCTCTGGGATGGGACTGAACACAGTGGCCAGTGGCCAGTGAGCGGGAAAGGCTGCATCCGCCCCTGGGAGGAGGAGCTTATCAAGCATCATCTCAAATACGGATTAGCGAGACTGCAAACACGCTGGCATGTTCCCAGTCACCCACTGAGGGAACCCATACAGTGACCAGAAACAATCAGGCATGATCCAGCCCCTCCAACTTACTTTCCTAGAGCGAAACATTCCAGTGTCACGTTTTGTCCCACCAAAGCATAGGTGTCCGGATATTTAACCTTAATGTCTGCTGGATACTTCCGGATTGGGCCTGAGAAAAGAGAGCATGGGCTGGTTGAAGATATCGAGAAGGAAATGACATCACTGTAGCCTGAAAACACCAAGCCGTGAATTAGATTTGAGGCTTATTGATTAAAAGCTTCTCCTGTGTGTACATCTCACAATCATGCTTCATTACTCCTTCAGGTCAGTGTAGGTGCACCATACTGAACCAAACAAGCCTCATCTAAAACGTTCACGTCAGCCCAAGTTTTTTGCATGTTCCACATGAATGTCACCCAGAAGGCCAGAGTGGTGACGTCAATACATATTATTACCATTTCCTGGCTGTTTTGTTCTGCCTGTTACATATAAACTTCAGGAACAAAGGTCATGAGATGTGGTACCATCTGTGTATGCCAGCGACCTTGGTGGTGGTGATGGTGCAGCCCAGAGGCCGCCCACGAAGGACACGTACGCTCTGTTATTGGCACCAGTGGGATGAACTTGCTGAAGACACTTTTGGAGATGGACGGGCTGGACACAAAGCAGGAGTAGTTTCCCGAGTCGGTCGAGTCCACTTTGGAGATGTAGAGGTTTCCCGTGGTCTGGGAGACGAAACGTCTCTTGTCCAAGGGGATGAAGATCGGAAAAACGTTGAGCATCCAGCGGAACGACAGCTCAGCTGAGGAAGAGAAATACATGGGTGAACCGGGGAGATCCTGCTTCCTGTGGAGATGAGGAAGCGCGACGTTGAAGCACCTGGATGATGTGGGGGTGGAGCACACAGCAGCACCGCCCCCTGGCCCTCCTTGACAAACACAGCCTCCCGCTCCTCAGTGGAGAAAGGATCCAAGTCTGTCAGGAGCCCAGAAGAGACAGCAGGTCACCCTCCGAAAGGCACAGAACCCATAACGGGGGCTAAATACACCCAAAACCCTGCGGTGTATCCTGGGTGGAAACCCAGGTTGGTGGTTCTCGACCTATTTTTTAACTAAGGCCCCCCCTGTGTCCAGGAAGACATGTTTGGGCCCCCCTACTCAGGTTTTGATATTTTCCTGTATGCATTCTGCAATAAAGACAACAATTTCTAATGTTTATTAATATGAACATTTTATTTTCATTATACTGCCAAACAATGTAATTTCTTTTGAACACGACTCAAACAAGGTTTCACTTCAATAACATTCTTTTAGTCTCAGTTTATGATATTGCTCTCAGAAGAGAGGGTTTAAGGTAAAAAAAACTAAATCTAAAACCAATTTGGCAAATGGCTTTAACACCAGAAGCCTCACAACTATTACACTTAATAACTGAAAAGACCCTCATTTTAAGGTATCAGCCTTCAACAAAATGAAATAAATACTGCAAATTATGATACTTTTAATAATGTTTTAAAACAAAATTAACCTCGTACCAATGATTCCTGGCCTTTCCCCCCGTCAGCTTCCCTGTGAGACGCTGCTAACTGATTGATCTAATTTTCTCTGTGAATTCTGGGATTCTGTGTAACGTCACGACCGAAGCTCTCGTGTACAACCAGGAAGTAATAATATTGGTTTCTATTAAAAATCTTTAAGAGCCTAATTTAAAGGCACAAGAGTATATCTATATAAAGGGTATTGTGTCATCTCGAAAATAAATCGATAGCCATGTCGTACGTTTTTGTATGCTTTTCAAGTAAATTACACGGCCCCCTTCGGTGCTTGCTGACGCCCCCTAGTGGGTCCGCAGCCTCCCAGTTGAGAACCACTGATCAGAGACAGAAGCGGGCTAATAAGGTACCTACAGGTCCCCCCCCCGGAACGTGGTACTCACATCCGAACCTCACGACGGCGTCCCTGCTGACGATGCTGCCGTACTCGTTCAGTGCCATGCACTTGTAATTGCCGGCGTGCCGGCTGCGGTCCGGCTGCCGGATCTGTAGGCTCCCGCCCACCAGGCTGTAGTGCTCATCTGGCTCCTCCAGCAGCTTGATCTCCTGGCCATTCAGCAGCCACCTGACGTCACACGCAGATGTGTGATGCTCAGAAGCCACTCGCAGACCACCTCTGCAGACCACCTCTGCAGACCACCTATGCGACCTCATCTGGGTCACTTGAACTGACTGGGGCTGAATCTCAAAATGTGTACTTGACTGTACTTATGCTCTCGCGTACCCGTCTTACATCTTCTTCCAGTGCAGAAGATCACAAGATCAGAGGATGGTAAAAATCCCCACGTTGGTCTTGCTCCCCCCCAAATATCAAGGATGCATCGGGGCATCCTTGCCAAATGAGAACAATCCCATGATTCATTGCGTACTGTTGCGATGGCAGAGGAAGAAAGTGTGAAGGATAACTGTATTACCTTAATCGGAGTTACCTTAATTGGACCTCTGTCCTCATGATCTTGCGAGATCATTCTTGGAAGGCAGGTTCGCAAGACCGGTCTTGCCAAGACCACAAGTACAGTCTTTGCGTTCTTGGTACTGAGATTCGCCCTGGCCCAATCACAGATCAGTAACAGAACTCCCCTGCTGTTACCTGAACTGGGTCATTTGACCTGACTGGGTAGCTCACAGACCACCGCTGCTGTGATCTCATCCAGGTCATGTGACTTGACTGGGCCATTTGCAGACCACCTCCACTGTTAGCTCACATGAAGCATGTGACCTGAGTGGCCCACTGGCGACTTTGCAAATGGTGCCAGTCACAACACATTCCTGCAGCACTGAGCCCTAACAACATCCTGTTTGACATCCTTGTGCTCTGTCTGATCTGTCCACCTAAGAACTCTATGTTTAAAAGGCCTACAATGGAACTGAAACACTGCTCTAAGAGCTGCTTTCAGAATCTGCACTTTGACTGCATCCACAGAGCACAAAAGGCTGAAACACGGCCGGGCTCACATTGAGTGGGGGGGGGGGGGTGGAGGGTGGAGCTGGGCCAGTGTCCCCCCCCAGCCTGTATTTACTTTCACTGGATGCACTACAAAGAGCCCTTAGTTACCCAACATGAACTGGGGAGATGGGGGCCAGCTTTCAAGGAGCAACACGCCTCCAGCAAATTGATATCCAGGAAGCTTGGAACCAGGGGCTGGAACTGGAGGCAGGAACCAGAGGCAGATATTGGGGGCTAGAAGCAGGAGCAGGAGGCAGGGGCTGGAACAAAGGGCAGGAACGGCAGACAAGGAGCAGGGGCCGGAACCGCAGACAAGAAGCAGGGGCAGGAACCGGGGGCAGGAAGCAGAAGCAGAAACCGGGGGCAGGAAGCAGGGGCAGGAACGGGGGCAGGAACTGGGGGCAGGAACGGGGGACAGGAAGCAGAAGCAGGAGCTGGGGGCAGGAACGGGAGGCAGGAACCAGGGGGTGCTCCTCCCTGGGCGCTGGTATTGGGTGCCAGCTCAGGAAGAGCAGGCTGGTCAGCCCTTAAAGCCTCACAGCTACATAATCGTTCCGCTGGGTCACGCCACACCAGTGCTGCCTATCCTTTTGGACCCATTCGGGTCACTGGGCCAAGCACAAAGCCCCAGCAAACTCAGCTCTGCAGCTGCTTTCAGAGTGGTGGCACACGGCGCTGCAGGCTACGATGCCAGTTTACTCACACACACACACACACACACACACACACGCCTCACAGCGTGAAGAGACGTGGGAGGCGGGGTTGGGGCTCCGGGTTCGAGCCGGAGCCTGCTTACTTGTAGGCAGCAGGAGGGCTGGCACGGGCGCGGCAGTGCAGCAGGAGCTGTCCCTCTGAAGACTCCTCTGGGTAGATGGTGTCCGCAGGCTGCTCCTCGAACACCGGGCCGGAACTGCTACTATTGTCTGGGGGGGCAAACAGCGGAAGAGTCTATATGAGCGTCAGGAAATTAAACGAGACAGCTGATAAGGAACTGCCATAGAACAGCGGCGGAGTGATTTAAGGGAGCAGCAGCCTTCTGCCTGGGAGCGAGTAAAGCGTCCCAGCTGTAAATGCTAAATGATGTGCTTCATGGGTTAGCCAGCAGGGGGCGCCTGAGCCAACTCACAGCCACCGCCTCATTACATTACAGGAACATATCACACGAGGAGAACCGCCTTCAACACCCAGGGCTTAAATATGAATGTCCATCAACAGCCATTCAAAAAGGTTTCAGAGTCATTCTCCCTGGGAATGACCTTCGGGTTCCAAGCTGAATGTATAAAAGAGAAAATCCTCTCTCAAGAGTTTGCTAATATTGTTTTGGAGTTTCTACTTAGACAAAGTTTGTTACAGACAAAACATTACATTACATTACATTACATTCATTTGATAGGCACTTTAATTCAAAGTGACGCGCATTTTTTTAAGAAGGCGGGGGCAGCCATCCCAGTTTATAAGAACCAAACATAAAGGGGGGGTGAAGCTGCCCATTTTATCCAGGAAAGGCCACACAGTAATGCACACCATCTCTGGATTAAAAAGAGACCCACACTGTAGGAGCTGGGGGGGGGGGGTTATTGTGAAGGGTGACATCATAGGGCACAGGATCCTAGGGATCCGAAAAAGCTGGACTCTCGTTCGGGTGGGTGATGGACCTCCCCCCCCCCCCAGCGCACACAGCCCTGCAGTGCACACTGTGATGGACTCCCGGAAGACGGAGGGCCCTTCTGCGGGCCGTAAGGGCGCAGGGCGGCGTGAGCAGCCTGTGCTGCTGATGCGCGGCTGCTGATGCGCGGCTGCTGATGCGCGGCTGCTAAGCGATGCGCGGCTGCTAAGCGACGCGCTAGCAGCATCATTCATAGCGGCACATTATCCAGCAGCTGATTCCTCACTAAAGACACACAGACTGAGCAGCCTGACGGCCACATTATTACACCCTCATTTCCAGGGCTGCTGTTTGTTATTCAGTAAACAGACACACATGGCGGCTCTTCGCCGACATAAAAACAGCCAAACGTCCAGCACCGCTGCCTGTTCACGTATCGTGGCAGATTCCCAGCAGCAGACAGACAGACCCCTGCAGACATGAACACGCGGCCCCCTTAGTAGCGGATGAATTTTTAATTTTTTATACATTTTCATGCTTGTGGCTGTTTGAGATCCTGGCATTTCTTGCAGGGGGGTGATCAGTGTATGAATTAGGCTGATAGTACGTTATACGCTTGCATGCCGTTGTTATAGCTCAGGTAACCATGGTAACGTCCATGGGGGGTCTGACAGGCCCCAGTGCTGTGTGTGGGTTAGCTGAGGTTTCTGCTTCCCATGACAAATACTGACTCTGGAACAAACAAGTGACAAGCAGCGAGAGCCCAACCCCCCACCCCTCCGCCTCAGCCCCTCCCCCACCCCAAGTCACCACGTCAGTAACCGGATCCCTGGTCGGCTAGCCCAGAAAAGCCCCCCCCCACTCAGAAGGGCTGTGCCTCACCATGACCCCGAACACCATCTGGTACATTACGGCACAAATACGGTGAAAATTGCAGGAAATGCAGCACGGAGGCGTGAGATATCAGCACCTAAACACCAGGCATAGTGGCATGAAATATCACAATCGGCAAGTAATCAACAGTATGAAGCGTCTCGGAATTCATATGCAGTATAATCCCGCATCTCACTTACCCTCAACAGGGGATAATGAAATATAACGTAAAATGAACCTGTTTACTGGGGTAATTTAATTCATACGCAGCATTACAGACAGACCCCCGCTGACAGCTCTGACTGTAATATCACCGTGGTAGCTTGTAACTCGCCTGCCGTTCAGAAAGACCACATGTGCAGACGCCTTCCAGTACAAACACTAATCTATTATTAACGAGGGAACAGCGCGGGTAATTAGCCTCAGGAACGATGACGGTGATTAGGAATCGGGCTTCGGCTTCGGCCCAGCGGGGTCACAGGTGTGTGGATCAGAGGCCGTCAAGCAGGCAAGAGGCGACACTGCATATTTACGACCTCCTACTGGGGAGGTAACTGGACCAGATCCTGGGAAAAACAAGTGCACCTAGCGCAGTCAGCACCTGCTGCATCATGGGTAATGAACACAAAACGTAAGCTAATGTTTTCCTGCATGTTTTCCAGTGTCCTTTAAGCCGCCTGGTGATTCATAATTAAAACCCTCGTTTGTTGCTCCTAAGAGTAACTCATCATCCTGGTACAGCTTTCATCCACACCGTCGGCTTTACTTTGACACCAGCATGGCCCAGGGGGGCTAGTGTGTGGTTGCGCAGGTTAGGCCTCTGCCTGGGGTCAGGAGGTCGCTGGTTCTAATCCCATGCTTAGCAGAGTATCTGTGTTTATGCTGAGGCCTTGAGCCGGGTTCTCAGCACTCAGAGCCCCAGGCTTCACATCCTATCTCTATGTGTGTGTGTCTGAGGAAAGCATGATGGGATGCATCACAACTAACACATTCCAAAGTACTTATGCGACTGAAGCTTCATTCCATTATTCAACATCCGGCTATATTTAAACACCCCTCCAAAACTGCCTGTCCTGGCATGTTGAGACCTACGGCAGGGGACATTTTGGAACGTTCTGGATGGGAGGCCAGCCTGTCCACAGGACACATCCACACAGACACGGCAGCCACACTGTCACTGTCATCCCCGCCTGGTCTCTGAGTCGTGGCCTCGGGCCTCATCAGGAGAGTATCAGCTACACCACAATAGTGCCTCGATGAACATTATGAAGACATGAAAACAGCTGCAGCCGTTACCTCCGCAGCCTTTGAGCTCTTCGCCATAGAGGGACGTGGCTGTAGGGAAGGAGAAGAGTGACAATTAAAAAAGATACCTACTGAATAGACACACTCATTAGACATTAGCAGACGCCGTCTTGGGGACTTTCAGCAGAGCACCTTCTGCACAATCACTCCTGGGCCCTGGCTGGAACATCGTCAGCGAGGGCACATCTGGAACATCTTGCACATCTGGCACCTCTAGACACGTTCATCCGGCCCAAACATATCCCCCCCCCCCGGTTCAAATGAGCTACTGAGCTACACACCATCCCACCTATTAAAGTTCAGCTGCCTCATGGACCTGCATCAGTCCAGGGGAAAATTCTCAATGCTAGACGACTGTCCAATAAATAGTGCATTTCCTGGGAGCAACAAAATTGCCTTTGCAGTAAGACAGAATGTAGCAATGTGCAGAGACGGGCCTGATGCAATTAGCAATTAGCGCACTTCCCGGCACGGGCCGCGGTAAACAGCACTCACCGGAGGAGAAGGAAGCCAAGAAGAACAGCAGAGCAGGCCACATGGTCATCGGTGCGGAGACACTGCGAGCAGCGTGAGATTTATCACGTGTCATCAGCGAGGGGGGGGCCATCTCCTGCAAGGAAGCAGCGATGCATGCGGGGAGTGAGGTGAAATTCACCACAGCAACCCTCGAGAATTCCTTGGTCGCCAAAAGCAGCTGAATGAAGCACACACAAGGGGCCATGCGCGTTCTTTACCACAGATGTTCTTGACGCACATTTCCTCCAGAACACTCTTTCTATCTCTGGAGGACACACAGTTATTGACCAGTCCCCCCACAGGCTGAAGGTGTCCCGCGATGGTTGACATGGAGACACACATCTGAGTATATGCGAGTGACCCGCCTGACCAATCAGAATTCAGCAGTGAATTACATGATCAAAAACCTTCCAAAATGAGAGACACAGACGCATGTCAGGTTAATGTCAATGGATGGCGACAGACGGTAGCATCTGGTTTTTTCCATCTGCTAAAGCAGCACAAACAGCTTTCATGCATGTTGTGAATGACTGACGTGACTGGGGCAATCGCGAAGATGGCGGTTGCCATGACGGGGCGGTGAGGTGGGCCGAGAGCGATACGGAGGACCGGAGCTCACTGCTACACCGTGACAGGAACCAGCTGCTCTTCCGTAAACAGGAACGCGCGTGGAGGTGTGCCTGATGTGGGGTTAGACCTCGGGGGTGGGGGAGCACGCTGGGGGTGATGTGGGAGGGGTGAGGATGCCCAACTTCAAACAGCATCCCTGTCTGTGGCAGCCTTTCAAAATTTATACCTCGTCTAGGTTTAATACAATCCCTGACGGCATTTACCAGACGTGGAAGGAAGCGGCCTGGCAGCCATGTACACGACAACAGGGGATACCAGTCAGGTGGGGGCAGCGTAGCCCAGGACGGCTCAGGTGTGAACATCGCAAGCCGGTCGGAATGTGCGAGATGTTTTTAGGCTAAAGACAGAAACACAGCCATCATTATCAGCGTAGCAGATTTTCACAAAGCAGCTGAAAGACACAGCCGTTTTACGTCTGGCGCCCCCCCGTGGTCGTGCCGTTGCTGTGCGGCGTCTGCAGACAGAACAGTCAATAAACCACCAACAGTAAATGATTGAGGCCGCCGTCCAGCTGCTGATACAAAGGGCGTACGTGTCACGCCGAGCGCCCGCGCTCCCGGAAGATGCCGTCTGCAGTCTGCAGCTGCGGAGGGGAACAGAGTAGCTATTTCAGCCCCATGCCGCCAATATCCTAGCAACGTCTCTAAAGGAGCAATCGCATTTTTCCACAGCCTTTTCATGACCGTGGACGATAAATGAGGATGTCAATCTCAAGGATAACAGTTGACAATCCTTTGATCCATGCAGTCCTCACAAGATGCTCCGTTGCACCATTACCTTCCGGAAGCTTCTGTCAAGATGCACAACCGGCTGAAGCAAGAATGTGTAACGCAGGATCCTGCCGGAGAGCAACACTGCATTCTATTATTGTCCTTCCCCATGGAAGCTTCCGGAAAAGCAAAAATATGGAGGGCATGTTACAGTCAGTCCTCACACTCGTGGTCTAAGCACAGTGTTTAATGACCCAATGATCTGCTTGATCCAGAAGACCCGCTGAGAGAGAACATTCTGGGTCATCTATCAGCCAGTGGCCGCCTCACTGGGTTTCACCACAAACACCCAACCTGGCTCAGCACACAGAATACAACTGAACACTATGTTATTCTCCTCACTCCCAACCCAGTTCCAACCTGAAAGTCTTCCTAAAGAAACTCATCTCACTTTGAAGAGAGGATAGGATTTACAGGCCAGTGACGGTCCTCTTTTTGTCTAATCCCCTTTTCTAAGGCACCCCGTGAAGAAGAAATACCCAATGCCGCATGAGCAGAGCAGCAAAGCAGGGCGGTGCCGTGTTTACAATGTCAGTGTCAAGTCACGACTTCACCCTACGGATGGAGCAACATCATTAAAAGATTATCCTGACGTGACCTCAATTTCAAAGAAGAAAGGACAGAATCCTAAACTTGTTTTGTACATGTGCTAATTTCTATAACTGACAAGTCCCTGGAAAATGACCTTTTCTGCTACAATGTGATAGCATTCGCTAACAGCGCTAACACCATTCCATAGCCAGAAAAGCCCCCTTATCCTCAGCAGATCTGCTTTCATTCATGCCAATTTCTTTAGAATAATCTCTAGGGTTGCATCAGGAAGACCACGACGTGCAGGATAACATGAATAGTTGGTGCAGATACTGTATAAAAATTAGATTGTTAAATCTTTGCTGCAGCAATGCTAAGGTATATTTGATATTTGCATAACAGATGTCACTATTTAAATAGACTGGACTCATCAAGCATTCAGCCATCTTTTATAATGGCGCGTGATGCCTTGCTTACTCTGAGCAGAACAAGGTGCTGCCGTAGGCTAGCTCTCGGTCAGTCGTGACAGCCGCTTCCCGATGGAGCGGCTGAGCGAGTTCGCTAATCGGTGAATCGGGATAATCTTCTGACCCGGTCCAATTACGGCAGAGGAACAGCACTCCCAGATAACGGCTGTCCTGCATGGTTCAGCGATGGGCTTCGAGCCACATTCAAAGAGAACCTCCTCTCTGAGGACAGTTCATTCACTGATGCATCTTGATGCTAATGGTTCATTCGTACAAGAAGAAAAAACACACCTGTGATGATATCTCTGTGGTACGATATCTACAGACTGGGAGTTCATTATATCCATCCATCTTCCAAAAGCTTATCTTGTTATGAGTCACAGGAGACCGGAACACAAGGCAAGGACACCCAAGCATGGACACCAGTCCATCAGAGAGCATAAGTCCACTATGGGAAATTTAGAGACACCACGTTAAACTAACTGTATATTTCTGGGCTGCTGGAAAAAGACAACGCACACACAGAACATGCAAACTGCACAGACAGAGAGCAGGCAAACTACACACAAAAGAACATACAAAATGCACAGACATAGAACGTTAACGTTTCCCCAAACGAGCTTGATGGGCCGAATGGCCTCCTCTCCTTTGTAAATTTCTTATGTTCTTATATTGTAAACCACACTCAGCCAGAGCAGAGGGGGGATTCGTACCCCAACCTTGGTGGTGTGAATCACAGCACTGCCACCGGTCTGCAGACACTCACACCCACAATGCCAGTATCTTTATTACACTTTGATAGAAAATATCCATTGTCCGAAAAAGCTTATTCCCTACTGAGGTCGCGGGGGTCCTGGAGCGTATCCTGGGAACAATGGGCTCGGCTGGAACCAACCCTGGGCGGTCGCCAACAAACCACAGGGTGGATAGAAGATATTTAGCGCTAAATTCAAAGCAGGACATAAACATATAAGATTACTTTTTCTCAAGAGAACCAGAGAGAGGCATCAGGATACAGAAAAATCAGAGATATTAAACAGTTTCATGGTGAAAGGTCAACTGCGATTGGCTAGCCGCAAGCAGTGGATTAGGAAATTTATGCTAATTTACATATTTTCTAAACATGTACTGAAAGACTAATGTCTATCGATCAATAATAATAATAATAATAATAATAATAATAATAATGTTTTACTTATATAGCACCTTTCTCACACTCAAGGACACTTTACAATGCAAACAATAATACAATAAAGCAAGGCACATACAGCAACAACAGCAACGGCGAAACAACGACAAGAAGAATGCTACGTACTGGTAGATACATCAAAGCATTCATAAAATGAGTTTTCAGTTGATGCTTGAAAATGTTAACAGACTGATACGTTTTTCATAGTGTAGGTGCTGTCACACGGGACGCCTTGCCACCCAGAGAGGAAAGCCTGAATTTGGGTAGAGATAGAAGGTTGGAGCTCAATGATATTGAGGGGCAAGTCAATGGAGAGCTTTTTAGGTAATTAGTAAAATTTTATACTTGATTCTATAAGTGACAGGTGACCAATGTAAATAACGAAGAACAGAAGTAATGTAGGTGGAATTTCGCATATGTGTTAGTCAGTAAGAGTTTAGACGGGAAGCCAGAGAACAAAGCATTGAATAGACAAGACGGGTAGTGATGAAGGCATGGATTAGTTTTTCAGTGTCAGTAACATTAAGGGAAGAACAGAGGCGAGAGATGTTATGGAGCTGAAAAAATGCAGTTTGTGTCAGAGAGTGACTGAAAGGTGAGAAACTAATATTAAACTATGCCCAAGTTATGGACTGTATTTGATGGTTTTACTTAAACTCCATTAACATTAATTTGTATTTTAGGCAGAAGTGATCTAGTACCCGCCCGCTTCATGGTGCAGAGCTCTGGTGTGAATCAGGTTGGGGTGGTTGTGAGTAGTAGGGACTAGAGATGATTTAACAGCTGTGTAAGTGTGCAGAACATGTGATGTTATGGAGTTATACAGAGAAAGTACCTGTATGGGCCATGACAGCTCAAGAACATCATGGAGTTGAGAAGCATGAAGAGAGTCAGAGAAGGATGACTGATCAATAGACTAATCACAGTTTTTTTTACTTGTTCGAGGCAGAGAGTAATTAAAACAGAACTCAATCAGTTTATGATCTGAAATACCAAAGCATGAACATTTTGCAAACCAGAGGAACCAATAAGGTCCAGTGCATGACCCTTGTTGGGTAGGAAAATCAACATGCTGCAAAAGTGCAACAATCCAACATGGACCCCAGCTCACGAGCAGATGGGCAACCAGTCTCCATATAAATACTGAAGTCATCAAGTAATATACTTGCAGAAAACATGCCACAATCAAGAATAAGCATCTCAGTGAAGTCAGAGAAGAAATTAGGATGGAGCGAGTGGTCTATGAATTAATATAATATAAGGCAAAGTATGGCGGGGCTTAGACAGAAAGCTATAGACAGGAGGTGTAAGCAAGTCCAGTTGTCAATAGTGGTTTGGAGTTTTGACGAGCAGTAGCATGTCCGGATTTTTCGCCGTAGACAGGTCATTCCAGAATGTTGCTTTACCTGTCAAAGACTGACAGTTCTGCACCCAACGTAGCGATCTGCAGGCATCTCAATGAGCTCCTAGTCCAGTTTCTTGATGAGCTTTTAGAAGACTCGAATCT